TCTCTGTATATCTGACTTTGCAATAAAAATAAATCTTTTTTTGTTTTGTTTTGTTTTGTTTTGTTTTGTTTTAAGAAGCTACAAAGTAAGCCAAGAGGGCCAGAGTGCCGACTGGACAGCTGTCCCACCTCCCTGGACGAGAATCCAGCCCATCTCGGAGGGGTGATGTGCCTGCACCAGGGACATTTAAGAACGGATAGTGAGCCTATCAGTGTCATCAATTAAGGGACATTCTGTAGTGCCAGCTGTAGTGCCAGATCCAGCCTGCCTGGATCTGAAGCCCGACCCCTAGCATTGCCCAGCTGTGACTTGGCGCAGCTTCTGCCTCCTCCTTGCCGTCCTCCTTGCCGTCCTCCTTGCCGTCCTCCTTGCCCTCCTCCTCCTCCCTGAGTTTTCGATGAACTCTTCATCTGCCTCCTCAGCAGCACTCAGAGGCATCAGAGGGGATTAGACAGGACACTTGTAAAGAGCTCCGGACACAACCTGGCACGCGGTAAGCTGCCTGAGTGAGAAAAGCAATGAAACCCGGGTCCCCGCCCCTTTCCTCGGAGCTCAGTCTAGTGGGAGAATCAGCCAGACGTGGAGGGGCCAAGGGGCTGTCGCCTCGGGCGCAGGTGCAGCGGCCTGAGCCCAGGGTGTTGGTAGGGGGAACAGAGGGCGGCAGGGAGGAGGCGGTAGGGAGTGTGCGTGCAGGAGTGGTGGTGCTGTGCCCGCGCGGGGCTGGAAGGGATGGAAGGGACACTTGGGGGGTGTTGCTGCACAAATGGAGGAGCGCTGCGCCAAGCCTCTGCCTGGGACCCCAGACCCGGTCCCCCCCATGCCAGCTCGGTGTTGTCTGGGGCTGAGGGAATCTCTCCACCGCAGATCCAGCGGTCAGGCGTTTATCTGCTTCCTAGAGCTGTTTTAGTGTTTCTTTGTATTTTTTTTAAACTGCCGCAGGCGATTGTTTTTAGCTGTAAAATACAGCTCCGAGCTGTATTTTATTTCTCCGAGCACGGGAAGCCGGCGCTGTTTCGGTATCTCCCAAGCCTTGCCATCTCCTAGTCCATCCCGTTTCTTTCTTTTTTTTTTTTTTCTTCCAGAAGGGGAGTTTCTTAACTCCACGCTCAACGTGTATATAATAATAGAAAACAACTAGCACGGAAAGATCATTAGACAAACGCGGGCTACTGCTGTTGGCCCTTCCCGGCCCCAGGCGCTCTGCACCCAAACCCTGGAGTGCCACAGCCTCGGGCTAGGACCGTCAGAGCTAGCCCGGCCACCGGCCCGGCCACCGGTCAGGATTTGTTGCCCTGGGCCCTGCGCAGTGGCGGCAAACGCAGTCTCGCCGCAACCGGTTCCCAACCCCAGCGTGGATGACCAGCTCTCCCGGTGTCCCTGGCTGTGGACGCTGTGAGCTTCCCTCCTCTGGCCTGAGGCCCTGGAACAGCAGCATAGGGCTTTCGGGGCCCCTGGTCTGCACAGCTGGCTTGGGTTAAAGATCTATATGCCATCTAGGGAGGAGCTCTAGCTGGCCAGCGACCCCCCTGCACGCACCAAACGGCGCTGTTACCCCCACAGAGCTCCCGGACGACGTGCCAGGAGACCCTGAGGTCCCTCAGCAACAAAAAGGGAGGCAGTTTTGTGTCACAACATAGCTGCCCGCAACTCCTGCATCCCGTATGAGCAGAATCATGGCTGCTTCTCTTCCCATCTAGCTCCTGGCTAATGCATCTGGGAAAGTAACACAAGATGCTCCAGGTGCCCGAGCTCTGACTCCCACATGGGAACCCTGGGTGGAGTTCCTGGCTCCCGGTTTGGGTTATTTAGGGTGTCTCCTCGTGCTTCCCTGTGTTTTTAATTTTAATTTAAAAATCAAGATTTATTTATTTTTATCGAAAAGTCAGATGTATAGAGAGAAGGAGAGAAAAAGATCTGTCTGCTGGTTCACTCCCCAAGTGGCTGCCATGCTGGAGCTGAGCTGATCCAAAGCCAGGAGCCAGGAGCCTCTTCTAGGTCTCCCACTTGGAGGCAGGGGCCCAAGGCTTTGGGTTGTCCTCTACTGCTTTCCCAGGCCACAAACAAGGGAGTGGATGGGAACAGCTTGGGTAGAAGCAGTTGGAGCACAAACTGGAGTCCACATGGGATCCCGGCCCACATGAGGTGAGGACCCCAGCCACTAAGCTACCGTAATGAGCCCAAGGAAAAAAAAATTTTTTTAAGTCAAAATCATGAAAAAAAAATCCTGTGCTATCAAATGGAGTGAAAGAAACACGGTCTCTGATGGAACTGTGGACGTGGGTAGGGTGCAACAGGTCTGGGGAGGGGAGGGTAAGTGGGCAGATACAGATCTGATGAGGAGCGTGAATGTGACTGATTTCTAGGCAGAATTTCCAGGACCCAGAGGTCTGCCTGGTGGGCTGCCTGGTGGACTGCCTGGTGGGAGAGGCCCTGGGGTGGAGGCACAAGAGCTGTTCCACAGCCTCCCCCTCCTTCCCCTCTCAACAAAGCAGGAAGTGCAGGACTCAGATTGCCCCAGGGTGGATGGGGTCCGTCCCTTCCCTGGGACTGTCCCAGCGGAGCCTGCGCCTTACAGCACACAGCACTTTCTGCAAGGCAGGGTCTCAGGCAAGCTTGATCTCAGCCCAGGCCCTGTCTTTCCTGTCTGGGCCCTTAGTCCTGCACCTGGTGCTCCTGCAGCCCAGGGATGATCATCAGCTTAGCATCCTGGGCTTGGAGCGGGCAGGCTTGGAGCGGGCAGTGAGGTCAGCAGCCGGGCTCTGCGGCTTTTGGAGGAAGCAAGCTGCAACCCCTCATGGCGCAGGCTCGGCCCCAGGTCGGGGATGGCATTGTGAACACTGGGTCACTGGATAGCCTGGAGCCAACCCAGTGCTTCCCAGTCACAAAAGGTGAAAAGTTCCCTGTAGCAGCATGAAGCTCCAACGCCCTTCTGATTCTATACCCCACCTCCCTTTTCTGCCTTCATTTTTAAAAAGAAAGGCAGGTTAGGAGGCCCAGTGCAATAGCCTAGTGGCTAAATTCTCACCTTACATGCTCTGGCATCCCATATTGTCGCTGGGTCATGTCCTGGCTGTTCCACTCTTCCCATCCAGCTCTCTGCTTGTGGCATGGGAAAGCGGTAACGGATGGCCCAAAGCCTTAGGACCTTGCACAGGAAGAAGCTCCTGGCTCCTGGCTTTGGATTGGCTCAGCTCTGGCCATTGTGGCTACTTGGGGAATGAACCAGCAGACAGATCTTTCTCTCCTTCTCTCTGGAAATCTTTTAAATAAAAATACTAAATACATCTTTTTAAAAAAATAAGAAATGCAGGTTAGTTCCTCCATAATAAAAAGCTGGAAGTGACGGGCCCAGCGGCATGGCCTAGCGGCTAAAGTCCTCGCCTTGAATGCGCCAGGATCCCATATGGGCGCCAGTTCTAATCCCGGCAGCTCCACTTCCCATCCAGCTCCCTGCTTGTGGCCTGGGAAAGCAGTCGAGGACGGCCCAAAGCCTTGGGACCCTGCACCCATGTGGGAGACCTGGAAGAAGTTCCTGGATATTGGCTTCGGATCGGCGTAGCATCGGCATAGCATTCGGTGAGCATGCGCTCACTTGGGGAGTGAATCATCAGATGGAAGATCTTCCTCTCTGTCTCTCCTCCTCTCTATATATCTGACTTTCCAATAAATAAATAAATCTTAAAAAAAAAAAAAAAGCTGGAGGTGAGGTCTGAGACCCTGTGGGCTGCTAAGAACCACAAACCAGGATTTTCTCCTCTGTGTCACACAGATCAGCAAACCCAGGCATTCAGCAGCCAGAGTTTCAGCTTGACTCTGCCCAGCTCGCTTTCTTCTGGAAAACTGGCATCAAGCAATACCCCTTGGGGAGAACTAGGGAGGTGGGAACTAGCTGGAAAGAATATAACAAAGTTAGACACCTGCTGTGGTCCTGTCCCAAGTTCTACCCTCCTGTCCCCCAGCTATTGGAAATTGTACTTGGAGTATGGCTAAGTTGCTGGGCCAGGGAAGCCTGACCTAGATTTTGGTTTTTGGCTTTTCCATCTCCAAAATGGGCTAACACATTCTTTCAAATGGAATCTATTATGTGTTCTGTATCCACCAAGGTCTCAGGACCCTTGGCTGTGCAGTCACAGACTCTGGGACCCTAACCATCCCTGCCACCAGTTTTCAGGGAAGGTGCCTGCCTTCCCTGTCGTGGGTTAGACCAGGCATGGAGCCTGCTCTCCTGCACAAGCCACTTACCCAAACTACTCACCCGAGGAAGCTCCTGGGACATTTCAAATAGGGTTTCGTTTTTTTCCGATGGCAGGAGGGTTATTTGAGATAGTCCCAGAGTGCCTGACGCGAGATGGGCCGGTTTTCATGATTACTGGATATGATTAATAAGCTCCATGAATGCCCACTGCAGTCTTGCCACTTGGGCCAGCGGGCCGCCCACCTCTGGCCTCAAAAACTCAGGTTTCTGAAGCGCCCAAGGCCGAAAGAAGCACACAGGCGCGCGCGCGGGGTCAGCGCACTCTCTTTAATGGGCATAGGATTCTCATTTCTTACAACAGGTAAAAACATAAATACGGGTAGGCGGGAGGGCGGCGGCAATGTCGCCAGGGCCTGGGCGCCCGGCCCAGGTTCGGGGAAGGGTGGCCTAATCTTTAGTGGTGCGCGCCCCGGCTCTCGCTGGTGCCGACTGGCTTTGGTGTTGGGTCCGCCAGAGGCGCCGCTGGGCGCGAAGGCGACGGCTAAGATACCGGGTTGCGGGAGCGCTCACCGCAGGCTGAGCAAAAGGGGCGACAAAACCGTCCCCCTCGCGCAGCGCACACGGGGACCTAGGCGCAGCGAGCGGTAACAGTTCCGAGGCCTCTGCAAGAGCGAACTTGAATCCCGAGAGGCGGAGGGTGGTGGTGCCTGGAGCCCTTCTTACCCGCACCTTCCCAGAGTCAGGTACCCCTCTTCCTGGCGGCGGGGAGCGGGATCGGTCAGGGCGCCCCAGCCAGGTGCCTTCCCTACCAGGCTCGGATACCGTGCAGCGTGGACACTCCGGAGTTGCCCTGCGGGATCCCGGGGCTCTGCACCGCGTTCAAGTCCCCGACGCCGAAGTTCACGAAGTTGTTGTTGGCCGTAGCGGCGGCAGCTGCAGCGGCGGCTGGCTGTGCCGCGGGAGGCCCGGCGGGGTAAGCGGCGGCGCAGCTATAGCCGGGACTGCAGGCCGCACTCCCATAGCCCGGGTACGCCGGGTAGGCGTTATAACCATAGGCGTTCAGGCCCACGCCGTAGGCGGGCGCGTAGGGCGCCGAGTCCCCCAGACAAGGCTTGCCGTCGCGCACCAGCACCGGCACGGCGATCCTGCGGGCAGGCGGCGGCGGAGGCGGGGGCAGCCCCACTAGCTCCAGAGTCTGATCCTGCCGCTGCCGCTTGCATTTGTAGCGCCGGTTCTGGAACCAGATCTTGACCTGCGTGGACGTGAGCTTCAGCACGCTGGCCAGCTGGTCGCGCTCCGGAGCCGACAGGTACCGCTGGTGTTTGAAGCGTCGCTCCAACTCGTAGACTTGCGCCTGAGAGAAGAGCACGCGGGGCTTCCGCCGGCGCCGCGCCCGGGGCCGATCGGCGCCGTCCGCCTCGGGCTTCTCCAGCTCCGCCGCCTTCTGCAGCGCGCACAGCTCTGGGGAGGGGGGCGAGAGAGAGAGAGAGAGAGAGAGAGAGAGAGAGAGAGAGAGAGAGAGAGAGAGAGAGGAAGAGAGGGAAAGAGAGAGAGAGAGAGATTGATTCTTGGTTAGAGCCTCGGAATGCGTCCGGTTGGAAATGGGATGGAGTGCCCCGCTGGGGGGCTCCTGCGCCAAGCGCACCTAGCCGGATTTTACCAGAAGCTTACAGTGTGCCAGTGACTCCCCTCCTTCCAAGGGCGCCGCAGAAAGCAAAGCAAGAGCGGTCCCCCGCCTCGACCCCTCCCATCCAGCTGGGGGAGAGGTGGCTTAGGATTTCCGGCGACAAAGAACAAAACGCGCTCCGGGAGAATTACAGCGGGACTGCTTTGGCTGGAGACCTTCTAGGAAAGGGGACCGAGGCTTCACCCTGGGGACGCTCCTATGGCCTCACATTTGAGGAAGCAAAGGATCAGCAGGCCCAGTGAGGCTGGCTAGGTGGCCGCAGGCTCCGCAACCGGCGCCACGGTGGCGCAGCGCCCAAGCAGCCGCTGGTGGGCACGGGCGGGCGCCTCCCGAAACCGCTCCAAGTGCGTGCTCGGGCCGAAATCCGCACGGAAAACGTTCTACTCCAGCCGCCGTGCCCGCCGGCTGAGGTCTTCGGGCCTTCTCCCTGCTCCCAGACCAAGCCTTTCCCGGCTTGCTGCAGCCGGGTGCCCTATGCCTCGGGCCTCCTCCAGAATGCCCTCTCCGGGCGGAGGCCCCCCGGAGCCGGTGCGGCCAATTTTCGCGATCATCCCGTCCATGATGTGACCTTCCCCAACAGAAAACCACTTGGGGAGATTGTGCTGGAAACAAACAAAAAAAAACCCAAGCCGATTCTAGAGGTGGCCGCGCCTCTCTCGTTTGAAATCAAAGCCCTGGATCCCAGCGCCTCGGTTGTCTCAACACAAAGAAAAGGTCCTAGGAAGCGGAGGTTACAGACTTGGGGGGCTCTGGGAGACCCCGGGGCCTTCCTCCACCAAGGCGCAACAACATGTCTGGTGGGCAATATTTTAATTTCTGCTTAATGGTTCTCTTCAGCTCTCAGAAAAGCCCGTGAACCCAAAAGAGACACCCCTCCTCCCCAAATATGTCTAGATACAGAATGGATCCGTCTCCTGGTTTTGTCTCCCACACGCCGATCGCTGGGTTTGGTAGCAGAAGCAAAAGCAAGGCCGCAGCCACAGGGCGCTTTGTTAGAACAACAACAAAGTTTTGTTTTGTTCCTTGTTTCCAAACCTCTCAATCTGGCATTGATTTTAAGAGGGCACGCGGGGACCCTAGAGACAACTTAGCCTGTGATACCCCCAAGGTTCCCCCTGCGCAGGGCCCTGGGCCCAGACGCAGGCCTCGGGCCTTGGTCCCTGGGCGGCGAGGTTTGGGGACCAAAGCGATCCGAATGGCTGTGTGTATGAGGAAGGTGGTGGTGGCGGCGGTAGAGAATGGCGTGCTCCTCACCTTTCTTATCTGAGCACAGGTCCTTGGCCTGGTCCGGGTCGCCATAGGCGCGAGGATAGAAGGCAGGGACAGCGGGGAAGGCAGGCGCGCACTTGCCCAGCGAAGGAGCGGGCCCCAGCTCGGCTCGCATCTCGGGGAGGCCGGGTGCGGCCGCCGTCTCTGGCCCCGCGTAGGCCTCGGACTTGAAGGCGGCCAGCATGCAGGAGGCGGGCGCCAGGGTGGCCTCCAGGCGCGAAGGGAGCTCCCCGGCGGTGGCCAGGCTGCGCTGCTGCTGCTGCTGCTGCTGCTGCTCCAGGTTCAGAATGTCTTTGACCGAGAACGGCGTGGGTGTGAGCGCGGGGCTGGGGAACATGGTGGCAGCGCCAGGCTTTCACAGCGCCAGGTGGGCAGCAGAGAGCGACGCTGCCCACGGCCCCAGGCACCCTCCCCGCATGGTGCCCGCCCGCCGGCCGCCCGCGCACCCGCCTGCCTTCTCTGGATGTGGCGGGGCAGCAGGTAGCGCCGCCGAGCACCAGGGGCGGGAGGGGCGGGCCCAGGCCGCAGGAGGGGGGCTCAGCCTGCCATTGGGCCAGGGTCCACGATGACAGGAGCGATGAGCAGTGTCACCTAATATAGTCATAGGGCTAAAAAAAAAAAAGGCAGACAAGTCCGACTCCGTCTTTTTTTTTTTTTAAAGGGACCGTGACTCATTTAGAAGGCAATCCCTTTACTTCTCCAGCTTGAGATGGTTTTGCAGTCGCAAAAGTCCCAGCTCTGCCCCAAGCCGGCCTTCTGGGCGGAGTAGGCTGGGCCAGGGATGGGCAGAAGTGTTCCTCAGCTCCCAAAACATTCTGGGGAAAGAGGAGGGAGATGAGGAGAATTCTTTCCAGGGACCCTTCAGGAGTTTATTGCTGAAAATGTTGTGTCTGATTGGGAAGGTGAGAATAGGAGGAGAAGCAAGGAGACAGGCTTTGCTCCTGCGATGGTGGCAGGACAGAGAGGGTCTGAACAATGTTGAGGTCAGAGAGCTGTCCACAGGGCAGGATCAGGTCTCCCCCCAACTCCCGCGCCCTGGGGGCTTTTGGAAGAAGCCAGCTGAAGGCTCCGTGGGTGCTGATGAAACGGAAGTGGATGGCCCCCACAGCAGCGCAAGGTGCTTCTAAGGTGCCCCCCCCCCCAACTCTAGGAGGCTGACTGCTTGCCTCCAACATCCACTTCTTGCTCCTCCCCTACCCCAAGCCTGGAGCCCTTCTCCCGTGCTCCCTCCTGCCTGGCTGCAATGTCCCCGGGCCTCTACCAGGCCTTCAGCTCTCCAGCTCACAGGGGATTCCTTGGGAGCTCACAGGAACCAGGATTTCTTGGAGGCTTCTGGGTTAGACTTAGAGTGAGGTACCCTGGATGCTGAGCCAACTTGGAGGAAAGGCAATGCAGGTGAAGGGACCATTTTTAGCTCAGGATCAGTAAAGTAGGGTGTTTCTGGTCAGGCCAATCTGTCCCCACCCCGGGAGAAGGTTTCACAGCCCAGCACAGCTAACTAGAGTTTGGGGCTTTCACTTGTCTTCAGGTCTCTTGGTGAAGCTTACATTTTTCTGAACATGTCAGAGAGCCTGAAGGTAGTCAGAGGGACCCCGAGTTCTGGGGTGATTGTCTCACTTGACTGCTGGCGATAGCCACCCTAGTCTGTGGGAGCCCATTGCTTTGCCATCACCCAAGCGCGAGCAGAAAAGCAGGGTTGCCCCCACGTGGAGCTGCAGACCGTGTGTGTGGGGGTGGTATAGCTTGCTGCTTCTCACCCAGGGAGAGTTGGGGGCTCAGAGTGAGGGTCTTGGCAAGCAGAGCAGCAGAGGTACTGGCCTCAGGCTGCCGCAGGAACTTGCTTCTGCCGCTGGAAGAGCCCACGCGACTTCAGCTTTGACCCCACGTTGGGGTGGGGGGGGTGGCCTGTTCGGCCTCCGGGCCCCAAATGGCAAGCAGCGCTCTGGCCACGTCTCTCCGGTGCCAGCCGCCCGCGCGAGGCCCAGGCCACCATGCAATCCTGCCTGCAGTTTTCCAGCCTGGCCCCAAGCGCCTTTCTGGGGGGGCAGCTGACCCAGACTGCAGGGAAGGCCCTCCCCTGAAATGTCCCCAAGTTTCCACTCCCTTCCCACCCCCCACCCCCCCGCAGGGGAGGCCGGCTCTTCCGAATTCTCTCCCCCGTCGGATCCGTGTGCACTGCGACCTCTCGCCTTGCTGCCCGGCAGCGGGCGATCCGGGCTGTCCGGGCCTCGAGGGCTCGCCTGCACCTGGATTGCTTGTTTTGGGGGAGTGGGTGGGAGAGGGCGTCTACGGGCAAGGCGGTGACGACTGGCAAACGAGCCACATCCGATTCAATTAAACGTCTCGCCGCAGAGATCTGGAAGCCAGAGTCCTGGCCGCGCAGCTAAGTGAAGCGGCGGGCTGGCCGGCGGCTCGCGATGACAGTTTGAAAGATTAGCTTGCGCCGACGCCTGAAATATTGCCGTTTAATGGGGAGGGGGCGAAACATCAAGGCTGCATCCGGAATCCCTGTTTTTAATTTTTTTTTTTAAAGAGGCAGTTATGGTGAGAAAGCAAAAAAAAAAAAAAAAAGAATTTCAGCATTTCCTTTGTAAGACATGATGCAGAAGTTTTGGGTGGGTGGGTGACAGATAGCTCCCTGGGTCAGGTGTCAGGAACCGGGAAGGGAAGAAAGCGCTTCCTATTTGCGCAAAATCGGTGACTTTTTCACCCCACCCAGACCTCTGTGAATCCGATAATAATTTCTCTTTTGGCTCAAAAAAAAAAAAAAAAGAGTGCACATGATGTTTCGGGAAGAGAGGAAATGGGACAAAAGACAGGGAGAAGTGGAGCCATTTGGAAACCAGGGCAGCCCACGCAGGTCTTTGTGGACAGGTGTCCCACGGTGGACTTTGCTTTGTAGTCTGCTTTCCTTCCCCCTCCCCCTTTAAATAAAAGCTGTCCCATCTTGCAGGCCGGCAGAGGATGAGTGGGGTGGGGGTGGGGGACCGGAAAACCCGATTCTGGTTTTCCCAAGAGTGGCTGACCCAACCTGGCCGCCTGGCTAAGCAGCGCTCGGATCCAACCCGCAGCACAAACAAACAGCGCTGGGCCCGGAGGACGCACTGCGGAGAGAGGCGGCGGGGAACGGCAGAAAGGAGCCCGAACTTGCACCCCTCTGGCTTCTCGGTCTTTTCGAGGACCGGTGCCGCTTTAAGATTACCCGCTCTCCGGGGCAGCTGGAGAGAGCATTGTGCGCACAAATAAATTATTATTAATTGAGAAGTGAGGGGGCGCACAGCCGGAGCCGCTTCTACCCCACCCTCCCCTTTTCTGCAATCCTCAGGCCCGTTGCGAAAGGTATATATGATTAATTGAAAGATAAGCTGGAACTATCACCGGGAATGTCATTAGCGCGCCGCGGAGACGCGCGTTGGAGACAGGCGGCGTTATCCGCGGCTTTATCTTCAACAACGCCTCGCTCTCGGCCTGCGCCGGGGGAAACAGATGGGGGTTTCTGTCTGGGACGCTCGTCCCGTGTTTATATTTTGGGAAGAATCGCCAACTCGTGGGAGTCCCCGGCGGGCCCCCTGATAAATGGACATTAGCACTTTTTCGGACTACTGTATCAACAAAAGTGCTGCGGCGAGGCAATAATTGGCGAGAAAGCAAACAGAGGCGGGCGAGTGAGACTCTGCGCTTCGTCCGGCTGATGGATGGGCAAGCGCTCGGCTCCGGGCCCGGGGCTTGGGGAGGGGGCGAGGCCCCTGCGAGTGCCTCCCGAGTCCTGGACTTCTCCGGGTCTGGGGCGCAGCTCGCTCAGAAGGCGCGGCGGGTCCCCAAGACTTCCATTGCTCGGCGGCTTTTGGAGCGTGCCCTCTCACAGGTGTGGGTCTGCAGGAGCCGCCGATCCCGAGGGTTGGGCCGGGTGATTGGGAAGGGGTGGTGCGAAGGAGAGGGAGAGGAGGAGGATCGGAGAGGTGGAATGGCTTGCTCAAGGTCACACGAGCCGGAAGTGACCATGCTACGAAGTGAGGACTCCACGGCCGCGCAGAACCCACTCTGGGGCCGGGATGGTTTTCTCCGCGCGGCTGCCTCCATGCGCGGCGCCAGCCTCTAGGAGTGGGAAGAATGAGACCCCAGCTCCACAGCCTGAGGAGAGGACAGGATTGATGGGATTCAGCGGCTACGTCTCCCCAAACCGGCATCAGTTCGGCAGGGAGATCCGGAGAAAGGGGGTGGGGTGGAGGTGCTGAAAATGCATTAGCTCACTTCTTCCCCCTCCTCTTCCTCCTCCTTCTCTTTCAGTAATTGCTTTCTCCAGAGACTGCACATACCAAGCACCTCACCCGTTGTACTAGGTGCACTCAATAAACTCTTCATCACCCCTAAAAGAAACCCCTAGCCTTTAGCCCTTCGCGCCCAGCTCCTCCTCCACCTCCCCAGTTCTAAACCAGCAATAACCGACTATCTCCACGAATTTGCCTCTTTTACACATTTCATACGGATGGGTTCCTTTGGCTGGGTTTTCAAAAAGTACATAGAAAAAGGTGGATTTAAAAAAAAAAACCTGGTTTTTAATTTTGTTTCCCCCAAATGTTTGGAAGTTGCCTTGTGTCCTGTATGGTTGTTGTGCCTGGAGTTTGTCTTACAATGTTTTTCTGTTTCCTGCTGGCTGCAGGATGCACCAGCACCTGGCTTCTTCACTGTCCGAATCATATTCCATTGTAGGAGTAGAGCCCTGTTGAGCTATCCACTGATCAGCTGGTAGGTGTTTGGGCTGTTTCTACCATTAGGCTCTGGTGGATAGACCAGTCTGAACCCACAGAGACCTGGGAGGGACACTTCCCTCCCCTTCCTTCCTTGCTAATTGGATCCTCCTCCCATCTCTGGCTCTTTGGGCCTCTGCTTGATGACCTACTGTTGTGTTGAAATTTCCAATTGTTGAACCTAACGGTCCACATTTTCCTTCTGAATGGAGCCCCTTGTGGCTTTCTATAGGGATGGTTTGGGCAGAGCCCTAGAACCTTAACTTGGGTCTCTGAAGTCCTCTATGATCCATGTGACTTTTGATTCCATTGCCTTGTGGTACAGCACCCCACCCACCCCCCACCCCCCGCCCGTTAGGCCAAGCTGGATGTCCCCCAGGGCTCAGGAAGGTTTAGGGACTTGCTCCGGGCCACACAGAGGCTTCAAGCGACAGTGCCCCTGTGTCTGGATTCAGAGCCAGCACTGTTTGGTTTCTTAGTGCTTGGTGCTGCTTCCCTGAGCTGGAAGGGGTAATATTCAGGGGAGGCCTAGGTGGAGTTGCCCACCGAAGGGAAGGGTAGACCCACTTGCGTGTGTGTGTGTGTGTGT